TAAATAATTTGCGATGTAGATTTTGAATCAACGTTAAAATTCACATTTCCACTCAAATTGTTCTCCGCAATTTTCTCCAGCCATTATTGAAAATATCGTAGACCGTTGGAAAGTATTGCAGGTAATATGCGTTCCATTAGGATCGATACATCACTTGCATACACGGGAAGCTTTCTAGCGATGAAAGCTCCTTTATTGGAACGGACCTATAGTAAAACGTTCAAAGTATTCCTAGTTATCCAAAAAAATGTTGGTTAAATTTATTTGTAACAATGAGACACTAACTTAGAGGTTTATGCAGGTGACGTTAAGAAAAAGGGGCATCAAGAGTTGCTCGTTAAAGAAGAACTCGTAGTAAATTCGAACGAATGACGCGAAACTCGTACCTACATTTACGTGATCCAACAAAACCCAAAAATAGAGACTTTCATTGTTACAATTTTTTACTTTATAAAGATCAAATTTTCCGAGTATAAGAAAAGATATTGTTCACACGTATGGTATCGATAATCCCATAAAATACAAAGGGCGAAAAACAAAAAGAGGTTAAAACACCAAGCCATTTTTCAAATGGATTTTGTCGGAGGAAGGACAAACAACAGCAACAGCCGGAAATAACGGCCACTATTTATCATCGGGTAGTAATTTCTGGTCCCATTGATTTAATTTTCGAACAAAGCTTTTATTCTCCCGCATCCTCAACTATCATGAATAAAATGGTCCAGCTTTTCTTTCAAACTTATTTAAGAAAATTCAAAAAACAAAATTTCAAGAGAAATTTTATTCAATACAAGACTTCTAACCAACAAATAGTTACAATCAAGCTGAATCAGATGATGGATTATGTATTTTAGGTTCATAATAAACAATTTATTTCAAATACATTTTCCTCCAACGCGTTTAGTTTCGGAGTTATAGACGATTTTAATAATGAAAATCATCAATTTTGACATTTTACATTTTTCAAGAAATTCTTTACGAAATTTCTTTTGTAAAAACGTAATCAAATCACGTAACCAAATCGTTTTATTCTTAGCAAAAGCCGATCTAAAAATAATAACATCCGAAAAATCTAGTGGAGATGTCAAGATCATATCAAAAATAGAACTTAGCTGTTGTACTAGTTACAACATTCCTGCTGGTTCTCATAACATATGTGTGTAGAGATCATGAGAAATGTTAACTTTGTTAAGAGTAACGAAAATACAATTGGATATCTTAAATTGAAACACAAATGGATACTTAAATGGATACGTAAATGAATACTTAAACGAATACTTAAAGAAAAAGGTTAAAGTTGAGTTGTTGAGTCATCTACAATAAGTTGATTAAATTCTTTTTAAAACACAATATCAAACTGCGAGTTATACCTACACGTAATAATGGTTTAAAAAAACATTCATTCAGTGCCAAAACGAGAAAACCTAAATTTATTTACTGAAATAACGACAAGTGTTTTCGAGAATCGTCGTTGGAAGTTAATTTTAGAACAATATTTTTCGAGGTGCCTGCAAAAATTTTAATTTAAGATGACAATAAATAAGCAAATTAAATAAAAAAATGAAGAAGTAATGAAGCGAGGAAACTTCGCATGCTTTCAAGCTTTTCTATATAAATGACGAGAAAAGCTCTGTGACATTAAGAGGATGGATCTCTACTCCGTATAACGATGTTTAATGGTAAAACGCAAAGCTTTTAGATGTAGAAATAACCTTTGAACATTTTTATGTACAAGGAGCACGTTGAAAAGGGAGATTAAATAATTCAATGGATTTTTCGCTATATAATTTATACCAAAAAGTAACCACAAAAAGAAACATTTATATAAGCCAAATTTAAACACTTAATATTAATATATGTAAATGTATTATTAAATCACACCCATTAATGCTTCACATCACACAATTTGCATTTAATTAACATACCATATCTCAATAGAACACGAACTAAACAAGAACATAATTCACAGATGGAAACAAGAAGATTCGACTAAATGTAACAACACACAACGGAATTAACTGCGTTTTGAGTTCACAAAAGCATTTTCGCAAGTTTATTATCTTTTTCCTTGCGCTTTCATTTCATAAATTCAGGTTTAAAAAAAATGATTAATTTGGTGACAAAAATAGTATGTTATCCATCCACATAAAAAAGTTGTTGGATTAAAAAGGTTTATGTTATAGCTTTTGGTTATAACGAAGCTGAATCTGATTATCGATAATATCTCGAACATTTTTACTCAGTGTAAAAGGTAATATTTTCGTTTTTGGGTAGGTAGTAAGTTATTATTAAAGTTTTTGAACTCGAGATAGAAAAGTTTGCCGCGATTTTTTGAAAAGAAAAACTTTTATTATTGAATCCTCTCCAATAAAGTATTGAACTATAAACACCCCGTAATATTTCGCAATACGTGATCGAAAAGAAGTTAGTTGTTGGTTTGAAAAGAAGTGTGTAGGATTTATTCTAACAAATATTAATTGGAGTGGGTCAACTTTTTCTAAACTTAGATCACAACTTTTTTCAACGAAAATAAACTCCTTCCACATTAAAAACAATTAACGCATTAAATTAATTGTGTCTTTATTGTCAATATAAATAATTTTAGAATATGTTAATTTGTTCCAGAATATTTTTCTACAAGAAATGCGATGATACAAAATATGTAGGTGAATTAAATTGTTACACACTTTATCGTTTAATTAAGTATTCAAACGTAATTTTTTTTTTATTTTCGTCTCATTTCCTTAATTGGACTGGGCGTAATAAAATACTTAATTAATTGTAAAGTTTTAATTGGAAATAAAACCGAAGATAATAAAAAATTCTTAACCTAACAAAAAAAGATTGAGAGATCTTATTTTTGAGAGTTAGGAAATAAATTATGTCTCAAATTAAAGCTGAAACATTCTATTTTATGAATTTAATATAGAACGAATAAGCTTGATAATAAAAATTTTAAGAAAAACATATTTGAACCTAAACTTGTAAAATTGGGGTTTGTTCGATTATGTCAAAAATTGTGGAGATTTAAAAAAATCACTGAGATCTTATTTTTGGGAGTTAAGAAATAAATTATGTCTCGAATTAAAGCTGAAACATTCTATTTTATGAAAATGATATGAAATAAATAAGTTTGATAATAAAAATTTGTAGAAATTTATAAAATTATTATTCGTTTTTTTTATCGAAAGATATTTTCGTCTGATTTCCAATAAAAACGATTTGTAAAGTGTATTTTCCACGAAAACATCCTTGAAATAAACTAGGATTAATTTACGATATCTACTTGTGTATTGAGACTAAAAAAAAATAACTTCAGAATTATTGCCAACGAAAAAGCTTTCAAAGATTTATTAGAATTTCTTGGAGATTGACCTCATTTACTAGAAATTTTGTTATAATCTAATAAGATATTCAAAAATTAAGTTAACGATGATTTATGAAGGTGAAAAATGTGGTAAACAATAATCCATTTAAAAATGAAACTGTGGTTTGGTTCGTTAACGTGCAAGAAAATTACGTTACTACAAAACGTGTTTATTACTCCACCCGGGGATTTAAACTCTTTTAAATTCTTCTTTTAAAAAACTGGAGAATTTTTAATTAAAAAGTTCGTTTCGATCCCTTTGTTATAACTTTTACTCCTTTTTTAATTTTTAACTATCTCAAAAATAGTCGAAAACAAAGAAAGATTGCTCGTTTTTCTTTTCAACCACAAAGTTAATAGCAGGTATGAAATGTTAGAACATAAAAGAACAACATATCAAAGCATCGATTCCTTTGAAAGGATTTTTCATTGAACAGCAATAACGTGCCATTGGAAGACTTTTACATGGCACATCTTTTATAGTATACGAACATAGTCTTCTTTTATATAAAACTAAAAATAGTTGAAGTAGTCTCTAATAAACTCATACCCTTATAATAAATTCTTTTTTAACGTTTTATAAACGTCATGGAGTATAAAACGCGTTTTACATATGTTTGTAAACGAGCACGTTTTAAAAGAGATATGTTTGGTGATAAAAGTACTTTACAACTTTACTATACATTTTATCAAATGACGTTGATGGAACGAAACTTGTGGTAAATTATTTCTAAACAAAGCAGCATATATCATTATTATAATAATTAATATCAAAATTTGTCATAATAATAAATTTTTAAACGTCACGTTTGACAACTAATCAGAATGAAGGATGGTGTTACCACACATTTAAAATAAAAATCACAAGTTGACCAACTAATTTTAAACAAATTTAACAAATACATATTAATATAATGAAATACACAATAAATAAATATATTAATACGTTATTTTTATATTTTTGAATCATAAAATTATGTTATACTTAAAAATTGAGCTGATCAGATGTTGTTGTAAAGAAATTGTATTTGTAAATAAAAACTTGGAAAACAAAAATCAATAAGAAAGTTATCTTCAGAAACATATATTACAGGATTTAACAGGACTCAGCTTCCGGAGCTATTATGAAGTTAATTATTATTACAAACAGTTTTTTTTTTAGTTATGAAGTTTAGTTTCATTTCTGAACAAAGTCAAAACAAGAAATTAATTTATTAAGGTTCTGGACAAAAAAAAGGAAATTGAATTAGGTTAATAAAAACTTTTTAAACCCATAAAACATTCTAATTCATCTCAACAATAATAAAACAAGGAAATAAAAAGAGATAAAGAAAATGAGGGTTTTTCTTAAAAGGTTTTTCGTTAAATACCATTTTTTGAATGAGAAACAATTAAAATTAACAACTAAAACACGTTAATGTACTTTAAACTCTTAAAGTAAAGAAATTAAATACAAAGAAATGCCATAAAAGTGTTGAAAAATGTGTTTGTAAATTGAAGAGTGTAGTAAGTGTGTTAACATCGTTCTTGTGATGTCACAACTACCCAAAAATAAACAGAATAACGAAACTTGGAGTACATAAAATACCGTCTATTATTAACATAATGGAAAATTAAAATAAAAATAACTCACCAGTTTAATCTGAAGAGTTTATCCCATCTTTGTTATAAAAAAAGAAACACAAACAAAAAGAACTAAATCAAAATAAAAATTTGTTTTAGAAAAATTTATTTGGGCACTTAAAGTTAACTCACAGCACTTTCTTATTTAATTTATAACGAAAGTTTTTAATTAATCAACTTAATTAATTGTTATTTTTGTTTTGCGCGTTTCCTCTCGAAAGATTTCAGTTTCAGGAGTCGTTTTCGAGGCTGTAGTTTGCGGACGACTGCGTGTCGATTTGGTTGGTGGCGTCGCGACGCCGGTGACGTACGCCTCTGACCTGAGGACGCGCACAATTCAGAACAATCAGGGAAAAAAGAAATGAAAAAGGGATCTCCCAAAAACACTTTATTGGAATCAAAATATTTTTTTCTATTAATTTAGCAAGAAAAAAATATAGTAATAAAAAACGATGGAAAACATTCCATGTTGGAGAATTTACGAGATGAGCTCCTTTTTATGGGTGGTTCAACGTACGAAACGGGGTTAAAACAAGGAAATGAGGACGTCTCGTATGAAAAGGAAAATATTTTGAAGCAATTTTCAAAGTTTTACGATAATATTGAAAGTGTCTACTCGAAATTTTATTACCACATATTATTTTATGTTTATCTATCGTCTTATTACAATATTGAGCGGGTTAAAAAGGAAAAAGAGGGCATGAAAGGACTCAAACACAATAAAATTCATTTCACATGTTCTTTTTTTAAAGCTGATTGTTTTGAATATGGGAATTTGCTGAGAAAAGAATTCTGTGAAATGAAAAAGCCCTTTTATTTTATATTCATTAAACGTCGTCGACGTGGAAAAACCAAATTTCATTTTAACTTTTTGTGTTGGCATTAATCAATTAATTTTCATTCTTGGGTGTGTTAAAGTAAGGAGCTTAGTTTCCATAGTTTGTGTTAAAACCTTAAAATAATTAATTAATAATTTGTAAAAATGAGATGTAGAGATGAATTTAAATAGGGAGTTCCTCAACTTTTAACTAACATAATTTACACCATATTTCCGGAATATGAAGTTCTAATCATATTCAAAATTATTTAAATTCGTTAAAAACTTTTCAAACTCTTTTTTTTATAAAATATTACATTAATACATTTAAATTTATCACTTACATTAAATTCGTTTTCGATAATCCCATGAAATGAAATATTTTAAAGTAGAAATATTTAGAAGCAAATAAATAACGTTTTGTGTTGATGTAAATATATATTTCGATAAATTTAAACCGCTAATATTAAAAATTGTAATGAAATTCTTTAACAAAATACAAATTTAATGTTATTTTCGTTTTAAAATTGTTTTTAGAGATGAAATTATGACTCTGTTAAGTAAGTAAGTGATTTAGTTGTTATGGAGGAGTGAAAAGACAGGAAGACACCGATTTCAATCATTTTATTGCATTACTTTATTTTTTTAATAAAGACTCGGAATTAATACTTTATGATAATGAACCGGAAATTTATGTGTGAACTTAAAAAAAAATTGGAGCTTATCCAACTCATTATCCGAATTCTAACCTACAACTAGTTAAGCTAGGTCAAACTTTGTTTTATTTGCCGGTTTTAAATAGGTTTAAATTGGAGTTTGTTTCTAACGATTTTATTTTTATTCATTGTCATTAATTCCAATTGTTCAAGTAAAGTATATCGATTAATTTAATATTTAAACTTTAAATTTATTTTGACAACTTGTCAAAATTGTTGTCACAATTGAAAGGCAGTGTTACCACCATACATTTACCAACCAACCTTGACTTCAACGATCTATTGTACAGGGTGGTTCAAATTCGATGTCCGAATAGGCTAACTCGAAAACTATAAGAGTTAGAAGAAAAGTAGCTTACATGTCATGATCTCGTTTTTCGAGAAACTGCTAATGCCGAAAATCTCATAGCGCTATCGTCTTTTGTTTTTCCGCTAGAGGCCAAAATTGAAAATATCGTAAAACCCGCAAATGTAATTATCTTGGTTATTATTATAGGTGGAGTATTATAACTAAGACATTATATGGACACTTTTTTACAGAGAATTTGATGACGTAGTCAAAAAAATTTTGTCGGTTTTAGATTTTGAGATATTATCACAATTTTCGTTTTTTTAAATGGAAACAACCACTGATTATTCGCTTAATAAATTCGTTATTTTTTTCTGATTACAAAAATATAGGGTTTGACAGGTCTATTTCTTATTGTTTTAGAATAAAACTAAAAATAAACTTTTCTTTTAGTGTCGTCGAAGAAATTAAATTTACAGTTTCCTGTAAATTACGGTTCTATAACTAAAAATTAAAAAAACATATTTCTGATATTTGAAACAAATATATTTGTTGAACTGTTTAATTTATATATGTTTTACACAAAAGTTGGAATAGATTGCATTATTTCACATTTTTTATTACGATTTAATATTATTTTTAAATTACTTAATAAATTATCGATAGATGGCGCTCATTTTTTTTTTTTTAATTCAAATAAACATAGCAACATTTGTTTGTATTCAAAAATTTTCTGAAGTGTCACTTTAAAAATCCTGTTTTTAAGATCAATTACGAAAATTTTGAAAAGTTTGACATGTTAGAATGTTACATATTAAAAAATTATTTGTTTTTAAATACCAGAAGTTATCTTCGTATTTAATTGTTAACTTTTTAGATTTTACCTACCGCCCCGTAACTTACAGGAAACTGTAAATTTAATTTCCTCGACGACACTAGATGGAAATTTTATAAAAAAAGTTTATTTTTAGCTTTATTCTAAAACAATAAGAAATAGACCTGTCGAACCCTATATTTTTGTAATCAGAAAAAAATAACGAATTTAATAAGCTAATAATCAGTGGTTGTTTCCATTTAAAAAAACGAAAATTCTCATTATATCTCAAAATCTAAAAACGAAATTTTTTTTTTGACTATGTCATGAAATTCTCTGTAAAAAAGTGTCCATATAATGTCGTAGTTAAAATACTCCACCTATAATAATAACCAAGATAATTGCACTTATTGGTTTTACGGTATTTTCAATTTTGGCCTCTAGGGGAAAAACAAAAGACGATAGCGCTATGAGGTTTTCGGCATTAGCAGTTTCTCGAAAAACGAGATCATGACATGTCAGCTACTTTTTTTCTAACTCTTATAGTTTTCGAGTTAGCCTATTCGGACATCGAATTTGAACCACCCTGTACACTTGTAAGATCTATTAATTTTTCTGTCGATGATCTCTCCATCAGCATGTATTCGAGTGCGTGGAGTGAAGAACCTGGAGGGAAGAAAATCAAATTGTCTGATGATGTTGTACAAGATATAAATGAATAGTAAAGTATAATCCAAATTGAAATAAATATTAAAGTAGCATTTCATGTCACAAAGTCGTTAAAATGTTAACTGTTAAAAAGACAATTTATCATTGACCGAACAAACCTTTTTTTAGTTATGTAGATTAGTTTCATTTAACACCAATTTGTTGAATCCGATTTATATCCGAACATGAAATATTTTTTAAAGGTTAAGTGAACAATTTGTCAAATGGATGAAGATAAAAATGCTTTTGACAAACGTTTTCGAACAAAACGCACAGTTTCCTCTTGAAACGTAAACTGGAGAGTGCTTCCAGTCGAACGTTGTCCAACTTTAAGCGGAATTTATCGACGCGAGAGACACTAGAAATTGATATTAACGGCCATTTCCTTTGCGTCACAAAATACACCAGGTTAACACCGCTTTCAAAACTAAGCACAAATGTTCAACAACAACCAAAAAGATTAAATTTAAATTAACGTTGTTAATTAATTATTACGATTGTATTATTCGTAGTTAGAGAATTTAGAACGCTTTGGGTGAATCCAATTATGTTCTAGAAACTGCAAAGTTATCCAAACATTTCACACTTCGAAAATTGATTTATTGGCGTTAAAGGAGTTAGCTTTGAATTCCAGATTCGCGACAAACTAAAGTCTCCCACTGAATTTGTAAATCCGATTCGTTGTGCAAACAACCGCTTTACTATTCATTAATTAATCAAAGGATATAAAAAATAACAAAATTTAAATGTCAAAGAAAAGTCAAAAATAATCAAAAATAAAATGAATTTTGCTAATTTAGAAGGTGCATCAGTCGAATTAGATAATTTAAACCGCCAAAATCCTCATTTACGCTGCTCATTATACGTAGAATTCGCAAATACTCGTTCACTTCAAAATTTATACGCTGACATAATAATGAAATTCAAAAAATTCGTAGAAGAAAATTTTATACTTCCAGCTTTCGACCAAGACATTCTTTACTCCCTCTTCGAAACGTTCGAATTTAACCCGACGTTTGGAGAACATCAAGAATTACACGTCGATTGCCAAATAATCTCGTACCCCTTATTTCCAACGATAAACGTCGCCCCTTCATTAAGATTATCGCACCAAACAACCACGAAAATGACGAAAATTGGTTATCAACACCTTTACGTTTTATCTTCACCCGGAGAAACCTCCGAATCATCCGCTTCTACAGATTCAGATAACAACGAAGTCGGTGATACGATTACGTTAAATAAAAAATTAAAATCTAACAACAAAACCATTGAAGATGACACCACCGCGATGTTACAATACCATTTTGAAAACATGTCGAAAGTGAATGATTCAATCGTTCACGTTGATTTATTAATATTTATGGATAAAGTTTATTGTAAAATCTTATCGAAATATCTTGGTTTGATTTACATCGAGGAACTGCTTGAGGATTCCGAGGAGCGAGATTTAAACGAAGTTTTATATCGATTGAGTAACAATAAAAACGGAAAACTATTTCGGACTGTGCAAAAATTCATCAACAAAAAGCTCATCCGTGGGTTCAATAACGTTTGCTTAACCCACAGTTTACCACTCTGGAAAAACTTTAACGCTAACGCGAGGGCTGTTATAAGTAACGATAACAACAAGTTGCTTTACGTGGAACCTGTTGAAGCGACAAACTTTTTAGTTGAATTGGGGAAAGATCCAACGATTTTAGATTACGTCGATGCTATTTCCGTGATCACCGATAATGCTTTAAAACACAAAACTCATATCATCGGGAGATATCTTTGTGGTAAAGATACTTATCGGAATGTTAAGTTGCCATTAATCGCTCTTATCCCTTTATATGTTTTGCGTTATTGTACTCAGTGTGAAATTGTTGAGAATGTACTTAAAATAAATTAATTCTTTATTTATAATAATATTGTTAATTAGCGCCCTCTATTAGAATTGTGGTGATACTACTTTATTACTTCTTTCAGAAAAAATATGTTTTAAAAAATTATCAATAATTAATTACTGCATGGCACTTTAAGAAGACGAATTTATTATCGATTACAAAAAAAAATAATAAATATTAAGAAAAGTTAAATATTATTAAGCTTACAGAATCCACCGAAAGATGGCGATTTCATTTAAACATCTGTCAAAGTCAAACAGAAAAAGTAAATGTGTGATTTAGAAAAAATTAACGAGAGTTTAATAACTCTCGATTATCCAGGGATAAATTCGATGAAAACTAAAAAAGATATCCTTAATATAATAAGCCCAGAGAATCGAAAAACATTTTTAAAATGGGTTTTTGTCAAATTGGATCCTCAAGTTTTTATTAATCTTGACGAAGAAAACATTATTAAAGAATTACCTGAATTAATTGAAAACCATGGATTTTGTCCAGATGAAGAAACAACAAAATTAATCGATGGTAGTCTCGATTTTGAATCACAGGTTAATAAAAAAAATCGTAGTTTGTTAAATAAAAATTAATTTTTCTAATTTGGAACCAAACCTGGATGAATTACAAAAAAAAAATGGATCAATTTCAAATTAAATGCGCTTCGATTAAAGATAAACCGAAAAAGGAAATTTTTGAAAATCAATCCGTTAAGGTTTTCCTTAAATAAATACTTATCATTTTTTTTTATAATTATTATATTTCTCTATATCATTTTATGTTAAGAGTAGCGCCCTCTATTATACGGTGGTCCTACTACATTCGGTTTATTTATATAACAAATATTACTGTTTCTAAAAAAGAAATTAAAAATAATAAATTATCACTAATTTGTTATCACTGTTATGATTTATTACTAATTTTTAAAAAATAATTGGTAATTTAAAACTAAACATTAGAAGCTTATATTATAGCTTACAGAATCTACGAAGAGATGGAGTCACTTCTTTATTCATATCCATCAAGGTCAATAGGTTAATCTTAGTTCTTACAAGGTTATTCTTAGGACAAGAAAACGTGTGAGAAAAATGTCCATTTCAGCGGCATTTTACAAAATTAAGGAGGGCTTAATAAGTCTCGATTATCCAGGATTAAATTCCACGCCAACTGAAGATGATATCCTTAACATTGTAGACCCAAAGAATCGCATAACATTTTTAAAATGGATCTTTATGATACTAGATTCGGAAGTTTTTATTAATCTCAGTGAAGAAGAGATTGTTAAAGAATTACTACCCGATTTCCTGGAATGTTATGGATTTTGTAAAAAAGAAGAAATAACACCATTTATTGATGGTACTCTCAATTTTCAATCACAGGTTAATGAAAAAAAGTCGCAATTTTTTAAATAAAAAATTTTTTTTTTGTTTCAGGTTGATATCGTTCAAAGATCTATCCATTTTACAGTATTATGTGTACGTGGGAGGGCACGAACATCACCACCTCCTCATAAAGATTTAAACTCGATGTTAAAACAGATTGATGAAGCTTTTCCGAATCTTCAAGAGGTAAAAAACATTACCAATGATAAGAAATTAGATGAGGAATCCCTTCAAAAAGAAAATGAAGCTTTATTGAAGGAGTTGGAAGAATTAGAAAAAACCAAACCGATTGATTTACCTTTAGAAGAAATTAAAAACCTAGATCCAGATGAATTAGGAAAAAATCTGGATGAATTTAAAAAAAATTTGCATGAATTAAAAGATAATTTGGAACTATTTCAAATTAAATGTGCTGCGATTTTAGATGAACCAAAAAAGGAAGTTGTTGAAAATCAATCGGTTAAGGTTCCTCCCGGTCTAAAACAGGAAATAAAAAAATTTGTTGAACTGCAAGAAGATGTCAAAGTTATTGCTAGTTTCAAAGAAAATTTGTCTTCAATTGAAGTCCGAAATAATCCTATAAAAAAGGAAGTTGAAGATCTTGTTGTAGTAAGTAGAGAACTTCTTGATAAATAATTTAAACCAATAAATATTTATTTTTGTACAATGACTTTGTTTTAAGTAAATTCATTAGGAAATTCTTCAATTTCCGATTCTCTCAACTCAATTTCTTCGTATCAATCAAAATTGGTGCTATCTTTGGGATCAACAACTTTAGGTTTAAAACTTGTTTTAACTTTTTTGTGTAAAATTACGTCCCAATGGATTGATTTAAACCAATCGTGTGTTATGGACAAAAAATGTTTCTTATTACTCCAAAAGACTTAATTAATAATGCATTTTATCCCACTGTGGGTTATTTCAAACTGGGAAGCTTTAGAGTTTCAAAATAACCAAATTTGACGTTTTCAACAACAAAATTAGTTATAATTCGAAAAGTAGAAACGATGGAAAAGTCTGTTGTGATCAAAAAATGTTTCTTATTAATTAAATAAGCCGAAAAAGGAAATTTTTGAAAATCTTCTAGAAAAATAATTGAAACCAATAAAAATTTTATTTTTTTACAATGATTTTATGTTTTAAGTAAAATTTCAGCAAATTCATTAGGAAATTCTTCAATTTCCGATTCTCTTAACTCAATTTCTTCGTATCGATCAAAATTGGTGCTATCTTCGGGATCAACAACTTTAGGTTTAAAACTTGGTTTAACTTTTTTGTATAAAATTGCGTCCCAATCGATTGATTTAAACCAATCGTGTGCTTTAACATCTCTTGCTCCATTTTTAAGCATTCCGTAACGTTTTGATCGGTCAACTTGAATGATTGCGTTGAGAAGATCTTTTAAGGGTTTAGAAAAGTGTGGTGGGCAAACAAATTTTCCAGATACGATTTTCTCGTAGATTTTTAAAGGATCTTTGGCGTAAAATGGTGGGTACCCCGCAGACATTTCGTATATTATTATTCCGATTGCCCACCAATCAACGGATTTATTGTAACCTTGAGACATAATTATTTCTGGGGCTAAATATTCCGGAGTTCCTTAAAAGAGAAAAAAATTATCTTATCGAAAAGTCCCGTTAGAAGAAATGTTCTTAATCTAAATATTTAAAAAGTCGAGACATAATTAGCTGACGTTTACTAAATTCGTGCGATTAATACAACACCAGACAGTTTGGCTCCAGAAATTCTATTTCCGGGCGTTCACCTTAAGAAATAATATCTTAGACAAAGAAAGTTGAACCAAAAAGTAACTCACCACATAAAGTATATGTCCGACTGTTATCAATTTTCTTACAAAATCCGTAATCCGTTATTTTTAAATAACCGTCTTTATCGATTAAAATATTTTCGGGTTTTAAATCACGATAAATAATTCCCAAATTGTGTAAATATTCAAAAGCTAAAATGATTTGGGCCGCGTAAAACTTTGCCAACATTTCATCGAATTTCCTTTGCATTCTTAAGTGGCTGAACATTTCTCCGCCGTTAATAAAAGGCATCACTAAATAAATATAAACATTTCCCTTGAAAAAATATTGCATGTTTATCAAAAACTCAAATTGAACCGCATCTAAAATTCGTATTTCTGACATCACGTGACTGACTTGTTTTAATTTCACCAAATGTGCTTTTTCCATAATTTTCATCGCGTATATTTTCTGTTTTTGCGAACAATGTCGAACCAAAGAAACTCTTCCAAACGATCCAGTTCCCAAGGTTTTTATAATCTCAAATTCGCTCAATTTTGCGTTTGATTCGAACTTCATCTGCCAGCGTTCCTCGAAGGCTTTTTTCGATTTTTTTAAGAATCCGTCGAAATCGTTGCAATGGTTAATAAATTTCGTATCAACCATTTTTTTAACTTTATTAAATAATTTTGATTACATTACGTCAAAAGGAGCATTTCTAACAATTGCTAAAATTGCACTCTCTATGTGTTTCTAGGTAACTGAAATTTCGCGAAAATGTTAATCTTGGCGTGAATTAAATGCAACTAAAACCAAGAGGATTTTTAAGAAAGGAAAAAGAAAATAAAAATGCTGAGTATTTTAAAATAATAATGAGTAATTTTTCTTGGAAATTTGAAGTTTTTTGTTATTGAGATTTGTGATTTAACATTAAAATGAATAGAACAGAAAAATGTTAAAATTAAACATATAAAAGTATTGAGGACACATTCTTAAAAAAATCAAAAAGAAGGAAACTTTTTTAGATTTTATACCTGCCGGTTATTTCTAAAGGGATAAATTTGTCGTTGTAAAATGGCATTGATCCAAGATGATATTTTGGGAATTTTTGCTTAAAACGGGGTCGCGGAACAGTGTGCTAACATAAAATTTGAAAAACCAAGTCAAAATTACCAAGTTTGACATTTTCAACAACAAAATTGATTGTAACCATTGTTTATAGAGTATTCTCTATAAACAAAGTTGTAACTCAAACAATATTTTATCTCACCGTGGGTTATTTCAAACTTTGAAGCTTTTGAGTTTCAAAATAACCAAATTTGACGTTTTCAACAACAAAATTAATTATAACTCAAAAAGTAGAATCGATATATAATTCTTTTTATTATTTCGTCAGAAAGTTGAATGTAGGCCACTTCAGTTAATATGCAATGTTTTTTATTAGGTAATTGTTAGACATAACTCCAAAATTTAAAGAGATCCGATTTCGCCATAAAAGAAAAACGAATCCATTTGGAGAACGCGTGCTAACCAGGGTATGACGCGCGCGTACAAATAAATTAATAATAAATAAACAACATATTGTGTATGTTTTGTGTTCAAGTTTTTAGGTGGCGACCTAATTATAATGTTTTAGTTGGTGAATTAAAAACTTGTTTGTAACAATAACAATGTTTAAGAGTTAAAACAAGATTGAAATTTATTTGTGTTGGTTTTAATTTTGTCTATTCATTGTTTGTTTCATCCTGGAAAATCTTTAAAAAAGTGCGCAATTGGCCCCAAAATCGGAGGAAATCGTTTGGTAGACGTTGAATTTTCGCAGAAGCTGCTGGAACCAAGCCAAAATCAGCGGCTAATTTTAGACTTTTACGTCCTCACATGGACTTCGCTGCCAAAACGTCCGGTGTAAGATGTTCCCTTACAAACAAAGAATCTTTATAATCAACACTTTTGTTGTCATGTGATGTTAATTATTTTTAACTATTTTTAATCAAATATTTTTTGTATAGTACTTAAATTTTTAATGGTGGAGAATTTTTTAAAGTTTAGTTGGAAAATGTAGACGGAAATGCGCCGGGAAAAAGCTTTAACCTTGCCCGGGGATCAAAATAGACCCAAAACATTAAATTCCCGACGTTCTCTACGTTTCCTTCCAGCTGTTTTCTATGCGTGTTTATATTATTTTAAGAAGGTTTTAGGAAAAATTTTAAGTCCACGTGCCAAACTACTTGGTTTTGTTGAAATAAACTATCAATAATGCCACGTTTATAACCAAACAATTTTTTTTATAAGAAATCTATAACAAAGCAAAGATAAATGATGCACAAAGAACCCTCGAAAAAAAAGTACACATTTCCTTTCAACCAACAGCATCTGAAAACCGTTTTCAGCGTCCATTGTCCTTAGATTCTGAAACGACGCAGTCTGCTCTCATCTTAAACGCAACTTAGAGAGAGCAAAAAGTGGGGGGTAAACAAAGCGAACCGATATAAATGGGGCCAGCTCGGCTCGCGATCAAAACATTTAAATCTCGTATACAGAAAAGTGAACAGCACAATAAAGTGAGTTTTTTAAAGTTTTTGTTCGGAACCAACAAAAATTTTTGAGTGAAAATGCGTCCCCCATCGCAATTCGGTGATGACATCGGTAATCATCCAGATCCAGCTGAAGCTGATCCGAGGATGGGTGCAATGATGATTTATACAAGATTGGCAGGAAGAGCCATTATCAGGGTTGTTGGAAGGTGTAACGAGGCTCAGGAGAACAATAAATTGGGTAAATTAATATAAATTATTTTATTATATCTCGTTATCTCTCGCGTATTGTTTTGACGGCGAATTGCGTTGTAATTATAAATTAGTTTTTGTTTGGATTTATTTTTAAATAAGTCAATTTTTACAAATACAAAAAAATTATTTCGCAATACCAGGAAATTGGAGATCTATTATTGAAGAATTTGCCATCTGTGGCGTGTGTACAATTTTTTTTGTATCCTAGAGGTGAAATCTTACGTTTAACAGCAGTTCTTCACGGTTACTTTCGTTTTCCGCGATGCACACGCGAAAAAATAGAATAGAAAATTGTAATTATATAATTAAAAACTTTCTTTGTGTGGAAAATAAATTTATTCTTTCTATTTTTGGAAAAAAATTATAATTAATAAGATAGAATAAGACTTGTTAGTGTTTTACTTCGATCATATGTTTTCCTGTTTAGCCCATAAATAGTTGTGTGCAGAGTGGAGACAACAGTCCCTCTTAGTATATGTCCTTTAGTTTTCCTTTTTAGTGCCATTTAAGGTGAACCAGTGCACCACACTTGTTCGCACTTATTATTCTTCTTGTCTATATCTGTTGACTTCCATCGATTTCAACTTCCACATTTTACAAAATAAATAAATAAATTATTAAACAATAAGATTTGGATTAAAAATAATTTAAAACCACGTGTAACGAGATAATAAATTGTAATAAACATTTAGATAAAACTAATCGAAACTGAAAACAATAACAGGAAACTTAACGAAACCGTTTCAAGGATTCATATTAAAATCTGAATTTAAACAATTAAATTATCCTTTTCTTATTAATTGTAATGTGAATCGCTTTCTAATGTGAATGTGGCGTGAAAATCATCGATACATTATTTCTTACGACCAACGTGAATTAAAAGCAATAATAAATGCACTTTCGTTTTCGTAATTGCTCGCACGATTTTGTGACTACTTAATTTGCGATTACAATTTTCGGGGCAATAACAAAAAGGAAATGATGGATTGTTCTCGTTTTCTTTACAAGTTGAGTGGAAATAATCAACAACTTTCTATTTTGAAGATTGATTTCTTTTACAAAGAAACATTTTTTTATTTTATGATTCAATCACTTTGTAAGATGTAAGAGATATTAAAAAAATCATTGAGATCTTATTGTTGAGAGTTAAGAAACAAGTTATGTCTCAAATTAAAGCTGAAATATTCTATTTTATGAATTTAGTATACAATAAATAAGTTTGATAATAAAAATTTTTAGAAAAAAATTTTTGAACCTAAATTTGTAAAATTGAGGTTGGTTCGAATATGTCAAAAATGGTGAAGATTTAAAAAATCGCTGAGATCTTATTTATGGGAGTTAAGAAATAAGTTATGTCTCAAATTAAAGCTAAAATATTCTATTTTATGAATTTAATATAAAATAAATAAGTTTTATAATAAAAATTTTAATTTTGAACCTAAACTTGTAAAATAACCTCAATAATGAAAAATAATTTTCATATCAAATTAAAGCTAAAAAACTTCTTGGAGCACAATATAGGTAGATTGAAAGAGTTTTAATAATAGAGTACTTGGCCTAGCGACATTCAACAGATACAAAAATAAACGCGGAAAACTAAAAGTAAACGTAGCAGTTCGTTTGAGTTTAAAATTCTCGCAGCGACTTCTCTCGGTCTCAGTTTGAGTCGAGATATCCTACTGAAATGGCTTCCGGTGTGAGTCGAGTTATACTGCGGTGTGAAGATGCCATGGAGAATCAACTTTTAGGTACAATTTCATCAATCAAATTAGAGAAGTGCTATTTATAGAGATAAATCCACCTATTTGGGTGAATATCTTATTTGAAGTGTAGATTTCTTTGTTTCTATCTCTTATTAGAGTTTACTCCACTCTAATCGAGCTAAAATCGTCAGATATGGGACATAATCGGATGACTCACCTGACGTTTATTCCGTAATTGCGTTTTCTTGGTATTTAATTTCACTTTATATGGATTTATAAGATTTTTTATTACAAAAGCGAGTTTATCGCTTCCTTATTCTTTACTGATTCTCAACTTCAAATTGAATTTGTTTCTCACATATAAAATTATTTAGATTATATAAATTATTTTTATGTAACACAAAGTATACAAGAATTAATTGAAACAAAGAACCAGGAAATGTTACATAACATTTTTTTTGGGGAATTTTATTTGAATGAACCGAAAAAAAAGTTTCCTGTAATTGAAATTAACAAAGATAAACTGCCGAAAACTTTCCGGACGTTGATTAAGTAGATCACAGTAGATCATTGGGGTTTAATTGAAACTTTTACTTTTTGTAATAACAAGATTTCTTAATTTAATTTTTATTTCTTTTTTAGATCTCTCAGAATGCGAATTAATGCAAGTTCCGGACGCAGTTTACCATCTAATGCGACACACCGAATTAAAATCTTGCGATTTAAGTGGAAATGTAATAACGAAAATCCCGCCAAAGTTCGCCGTTAAATTTAGCTTAATTTCCGCATTAAATTTATCTCACAATCAAATGTCGAAACTTCCTGATGAAATCGCCGATTTGGGATCATTACAAAGACTCGACATTTCTCATAACACCTTCATCTCTCTACCATCGGCAATCTTTAAAGCACCAAAATTGGAATTGTTAAATGCAAGTGATAATCACATTGCGGATGTGGACGTTGAAGAAATCAAAGAGGCACCGTCATTGATTGCGTTGGATTTGAGGAATAATCCGTTGACGGTTCGGTGTCATGATCAAATCGCTCAAATTACTGAAATTCAGGTTGATTTGACGCCGCGACAAAGAGAAGATTGGGAAGATCTTAATATTTAAATTAATTTAAAATTAAAGAAAATGTAAGAAAATTCACTGCCAAAAGTGTTAAAACACAAAAGGTAGCTGTCTTTAATGTAAATTTTTTTCTAGTTTTTTAATAAGAAAAAATTAATATTTGTATTTTTATAAATAAAATAGGCCTATTAATTAATGGTCTCGATTTAAGTATTAAGTTATTTACGTACTTAACTAAAAAACGCAGTGTCTTGTATACCTACTATGTTTTAGACTTTTTACTCAGGGACAGTTTTTTCAGTTTAGTGCAGATTTCTTTGTGATTAATGATTAAACCTGATTTGGTGCTAAAATGTTTTTTTTATAACCAGAATTTGTAAAAAAATAAATTAATTGTTGTGATATTTATATTTGGAAGAAAAGCTGGTCCCCTTTTCGCTATTTTACTACTTAACTAAATAGACTTGTGTGTTTAATTAATTTGTACTATATTATTTTGTCTATTAAGCATTTGATAATTACTTATATTATTATTTTGATTGTCCTGGCTTGGTCATCTAGTCATTTTGTGATTTCGCCGATGATTTAAAAGAGTCCTCTATGCATTTCTGATGATGTAAAATAAAATAATTATAAATAAAACAAGTATTTGAAAATCAATTTAGGATTTTATTTCAAACTTAAATTAACTAATATAACTTAAAAGATTTTAAAATAATCACCGAGATCTTATTATGTCTCAAATTAAAGCTGAAACATTCTATTTTATGAATTTATTAAACAATAAAATGTTTGATAATAAAAATTAAAAAAAAAACTTGTAAAATTGGGGTTGGTTCGAATATGTCAAAAATTGTGAAGATTTAAAAAAATCGCTGAGATCTTATTTTTGGGAGTTAGGCATTAAGTTATGTCTCAAATTAAAGCTGAAACACTCTATTTTATAAATTTGGTATAAAACAAATAAGCTTGATAAAAAAATTTAAAAAAAAAATGTTTTGAACCTAACCTCGTAAAACTGAGGTTGGTTCGATTATGTCAAAAATGGTGAAGATTTAAAAAAATCGCTGAGATCTTATTTTTGGGAGTTAGACATTAACTTATGTCTCAAAATAAAGCTGAAACATTCTATTTTATGAATTTGGTATAAAATAAATAAGCTTGATAATAAAAATTTTAAGAAAAAAATGTTTGAACCTAAACTTGTAAAACTGAGGTTGGTTCGATTATGTCAAAAATTGTGAAGATTTAAAAAATCGCTGATATCTTATTTTTGAGAGTTAAGAAATAAGTTATGCCTCAAATTAAAGCTGAAACATTCTATTTTATGAATTTGGTATAAAATAAATAAGCTTGATAATAAAAATTTTAAGAAAAAAATGTTTAAACCTAAACTTGTAAAACTGAGGTTGGTTCGATTATGTCAAAAATTGTGTAGATTTAAAAAATCGCTGATATCTTATTTTTGAGAGTTAAGAAATAAGTTATGTCTCAAATTAAAGCTGAATTTGATATAGAGAACGAATAAGTTCGATAACAAAAATAACTAGAAAAAAATGTTTGAATCTAAACTTATAAAATTGAGGTTAGTCCAAACATGTCAAAAATTATTAAAATTTCCATTTTATGAGTTTAATATAGAATATCTAAGTTTGTGGCATATCAAATTAAATTAAATTTGCTTTAATTATCTTAATAATCTCAAAATTTTCATCATGAAGATTTTCGGTAATATTATAATGATCAATTCCTTTTATTGTAATTAATTCAGTACTTTTCCCACCGTTTTTTAAAAGATCATAAATTTGTTTTGATTGATCTATAAATCCAGGACAATCTTCCGTTCCTACACAAATAAAAAATTTAATTTCGTCATTAAAATCATCATAACTTTGAAAAATTGGACTTAATTCTTTAGCTTTGTTTTTATTTAATTTTAATACATCATTATAAGAAGTTTCAAGAATCTCCTCCAAATTATAAATACCACCCAATAAAAAGAATCCTTTAAAAATCTTCTTTTGATTTTGTTTTAAAGTTTTAAATAAAGATATCATTGAAATTATACTTATTTGTGCTCCAGCTGAATGACCGGATATTCCTACACATCTAAAATTTAATTTATTAAAATATATAATTAGGAAAGATAAGTTTACCTAGATCCTTTTTCGAAAGCATAACTAAAACATTTATTTAAAGCGAAAGAAACATTTTTAATGATTTCCTCAACCATACACTCAGGACTTAAAGTATATCCGATAATAATAGTTTTAATTCCATTTTTATACAAACTTTTAACAGGGTAACGAGATGTATTTTTTGTTACAACTTCGTATTGCCAATATCCACCATGGATAAAAATTAAAATTGGTGCATCTACAAATAAAAAGTCACAAACGCTTATTGTTAATAATTTTGTTTGAATTTCACCATCGGGTAAATCAGTTCCAAATAAATCAAACTTTTCTCTTTCTTTACCACCGTAAGTTATGTTAAGACTACAAGGTATTTGTTCTTTGAGTATTTCTTCTCCAACTAAAATAAAATTAAAAAAGTACAATCAATAAATAATTATAATCTAATAATTACTTTTTGTTGAAACTTCAATATATTTATTTACAGCATCTTCTTGAGAATATCTTGATGTCCAAAAAGAAGGTGAAAATCTTCTTTCTATTTCTTTAGACATCATTATTTACTTTAGATTTTTGTTTTCATTTTAGTAGTTGGCAATTCTTGAATAATACCCCCTAAACGTTAAACTGACATCCCTTATAAATGGAATTTCTAATTATAGTACTAATCGAATTTGAGATGTAACTTGAGTATGATCAGGTCAAAGTCGAAATAACTAAATAAATTAATGGATAAATCAAAACATTGTAACTTGAAATCTCTAAGAAATCTGTATATTCATTTGCGATTTATTAAAGTTTACTTTATTATTAAGTTGGCAATTCGATGATAGATGTCACTTTATAATAATTATACTTTTTGATTTATACTAAAAATTTAAAAGTTAACCTCAAGAATCTAAAACAAAACTAAATCAATTAACAGTAAGTAGTGTAATTACTATCTGTCAACTAAATTGTTTTTGTTTAAGTTGTACTATACTCTGTTTTTAAACCAAGAGGAGTAAACGCGAAAGTCAGATTCACACTAGGAAAAATCACCAGAAAATATCACTAGATATTTTGGCGGTAAATTTAAATTAATAATTATTATTATTTATTTATTTACTTATTATTGTATTTATTTTCGTTTGTTATCGTCAACACTAAACATACAAATTAACATTGAAGTTATGAGTGTATTTATTTCAAAATATAATAAAGAAGGGTTTAAGAACACAAAATTTACAATAATGACACGAAACTGTCGAATTGTCAATAACCTAACCTTCAAATTCAAAATTGACTGTGTGTGAACCTTCCTCGCATTCAACCAATCACGTGCAAGGTCAATCTGGTGACAAATTTAAAATACTCCTCCTGGTTTAAAAACAGAGTATAATTGCCAAAGAAAACTTCAAGGTATAATTAATGTTTGTAAACAAAACTAACCTTACCTAACATTCCTTCACGCTATAATTGACATTACAAAAGAAAACTTCACGCTATAATTGCCATTACTAATTGCCAAAGAATACTTCATGGTATAATTAATGTTTGTAAACAAAACTAACCTTACCTAACATTCAGCGTCTGAAGACACAGGGCTAAACCCGAAACTTAAAAATATACAACTTAGCGCTGAATAACAATTAAAACTAGAACTAAAAACAGATTTAAAAACAGAGTATAGCAGTTTTTATCTCTATTCATGCAGTTATCATATCGATGAATTTCTATCGCCTCTCTTGTCTCAATGCTAGATACTGCTTACAGACGACTGAATACTGTTACTGGAAGAATAAGCATTGCTGATAGGAGACTACATACTGTTGACAAAGAACTAGATACTTCTCCTGAATTGCTACATGAGCCGTAATTGTACTTAGATGGAACCAACAACGTATTGCAACGCATCCCAAGCTTTAGATATTAAAACCCAAAACTGGGAATGTGATGAGAAGGGTAATAGTGTAATGGAGTTAGGAGTCGTAATCCATAAAAGAGAGATGGATAAATAAATGAAGAACTATATTGTGGATAAAGTTAAGTATTTGTATGTGTTATGGGTAAAAACATAACTATGTATTATAAAGATGTCTTAGAATGTGTTAACATATACGAGCGATGTTGAGACACGCTGTGGACTAGAAATAGATTTGTTACTGAGTTGATTGAAAATTCCCTGGAATTTCCCAGGAATAAAACGAACCGAGAGAACGATAGAAGTATAATTGGTTATGTATTCGAGTCGAAAAATCGAACATGAAAATAGCTTCACCCTGGTTTCATTGTGAAAATCCGCCGAATCGAAATATCACGCGCGCAACAGCCCGTAACAAATAATGGAAATCATCCCCTTTATAGAAAGGGTTATAGTTGATTTTCGGGGATTCGCCGAGGTCGTCGTCTTCAGAATTAAACCCCTTCATTGTTTTGTCGTTTACGCAGCTTTGAGTAAATAATAGGTTTGAACTTAAACGGATTTGATAAATATTTTTCGTTGATTTTCTTTTCGTTTGATATTGAAATATCCCGTATCTTTGGGCGCCCATCGGCGATACCATCTACGCCGGGAAATTGCGCGAAAAACAAACGTCGCGAAAATTTATCGCCATCACGTATTTCCCTCATTTCCCTCCTCAGTCCATCATTTCCCCCCTTTTCTTCTATAGATGCGTATCTCTTTTCCGGTGTACGTTTAGGGTCACGCGATTTCGCGAAAAGCGACGTCATATTTCAATAGGACTTTTTTGGGGATATATATATATATGTATATATAAGTTTAAAAATAACCAGTGGAATTGAGGATTTTTATAAGGGATTTTAGAGGGGGTAGGTTTTTCGTTTGGGGTCAAAATCGATAGTGCACTTTCGCTATCGCATTGGCCGCGACCGTGCATCGAAAACAAGGCCGAACCTGATCAATACACCGGTGGCGGTCGACGTCGACGCCGGTTGCAACACGCCCTTCACCCTTTTTGAAATTAGTACATAAGCACCCCGACGCCGACGCATAACGCATTTCATCGATCGTTGCGATGCATTTCCAACTATATCCCATCTCTCTCCATCACCCCTCAAGTATATGTGGGATGCATATATGTTTTTGGGGGGATCAACGTTATGTACAGTGTGTTATGTTTAGTTACAAGGTCAAAGTACAGTTGTAATCAAGAAATTTTCATTCGAAATTAGTACAGTCGAATCAAAGTTATGAAATATTAATAAATGATTTAATCAAACTAATCTTTATTCCAAGTCGTAAAACATTTTATGATACCGACCTTTCAGTTTCAACAATAACGAACGATTTTAATAGGTCGCAAACCTTTAATCTCTTCCGACCCCCACATTCCCATAGAATCTTTTACAATCATAAAGGGCGCTTTCAAACCCAACCCCCCAAAAACACCAAACTTTTTATTCCAAAGACACTAAAAACGCGCTTATATTGCGATGTAGAAATACTTATCAAGGATTTACGGGGTTTAACACCACCCCTTAAATCCCAAATCTCCATACTTAACCTTACATAAATACCCATATATTACTATTTTTTTATAACAATAAAATTCGATTTTAACGTTGAGGTTGAACAACCCCGATACTTAAAAAAAAAACCTTCGCCTCATTAATCATCGAGTCGTTAAGGGAGGCGTGCGATTTTCGAGGTGAGGGAAATCCCTTTGAATTGACGGATTACGAGGACTAGACGAGAAAGAGACGAGGACGTTACGAAAACGGAAAACGAAAAAGACCGTGCGCCGTCCGGCTGAAAAATTGAATTTGCTTCGAAGACGTCACGTGCAAAAAGCGACGGGGAAGGTAAAAAAAGGACGAAAGGTCCGAGAAGAAAACGAAAAAGGAACAAGGTGGGACGAAAAATGGAAAGAAAGGGGAATATTTAATTAAACAAGAAGTAGACGAAACTTTTAATACCGACGTAGAGTACGATCCTTGCATAATAAACTGATTTCGTTAAATATGAAAATTTTAATTAGCGATTTTCCTTTTATGATTCTCCAAAGTTTTCTATGAAAATTATTTTAAAACATCTAATTATGATCTTATTATGTAATTCATGAGAAGTATCTAGTTCTTTGTTAACGGTATATATGTCTTTGTAGTCTTTCAGCAACAGTATTTAGTCACCTATAAGCAGTATCTAGCATCCAGTATCAATACGTAGCCTTTTGCAAGTAATATTTAGCACCCAGTAACACTATTTAGTTTTCTGTAAGCAGTGTACATAGTCTTCTGCGTGCAGTATATAGTCTGCTGCAAACAATATCTAGTCTAATCTAGGCGATATCTAGCAGTATCTAGTCTACCGTAAGCACTCTCTCGTATCAGTATCTAATAGTATCTCCTGTTTTAAATTGATTAGATAGCTATTAAATAACTCGTTCTTGAATACGAAGGAATAATAATAAGAGTAAATAAGAGAAGTAATAAAGGGTTAGATAGAAGGTAAACGAACCGAAAGTTTTCGTTAGAAAAATTCAATAAAACTTCGCGTCACTGTTTTATTAAACTCTGTAAACTCCACAAGTACCCTTTCCTTTCCGAATAGAACGTTTTCCCAGCTGTCTCAAGTACCTGGAGATATTTTGAAATAAAAAGAAGAAAATTTGCTATCATTTCTCGAACAATCGGGACAATAAAAAGTTTCTCATCACCTTCGAAGAGAAAATTTCGCCGTCATCCGAGTAGATATAGCCGAATTACAAAGTATATGACCTCGTATAGTTGGTATAGTATAAAAAAGAGATCACTTGCGCCCCTCGCTTTCAATCTAACTGGTTTTTTTTCGGGGGATGTGATAGCAACGTTTCACGTATTAAACTACCGGACGCCATTAAGGAAGCGCTACTATTTTGGACACGGCAATAAGCTTTTTGTGACCGTGTAAAGATCGGTTGTAAATGTTTTTTATGGAACATCGTTAAGTTTTAATACTTATTATTTAAATGAAATTTGAAACTTTTGATTTCTCTTCGGTTAATTAAATTCCCGAAACCCTACTCACTCTGTTTGCAAAACTATAGGGTGTTGACAAATCCAAACAATTTGACAGGTTCCCCCAATTTCTATTTAGAGTAACGCTAGAGAGACGATAATATCGCGGTCATCCCTCATTTTCTCGGGGCAACAAATTAGATGCCCTTTGTCCATCCCCGGGCAATTTCTAGGACGTCCTCCGGCAAATTTCCCGAACCCCAAAAGCAATGAAGGGTCCTCTCGTGCACCTTTTAATTTAGTCCTCTTCGTCGTCATCCCAATTCCTTGAAGACCATCCCTGGAAAGATGAGTTATTTCGGTTGATTGCCCGTGTCCGATGAATGCGAAATGGAGTCTGGAGTCAACGGGGGACACCGCCATCGGAGTTGATGGATAAAACGGGGATGGAGTCTCCTGACAGATTGGATTCGGGAACTGCTTTTATAATTCCTAACCCAAATACAACTCGGATGCGAAATGAGAATGGGAGGAGGAGGTGAAATCGAGGGGGGACTCACTGTGTTGCCTCTTTTGTAGGGCGAAATCTGACATGCCCTTTGGGTGAGTGCGACATTTGAGAATTCGATATCTCAAATTGCGTTATTTTTGTTATCCGTGAATTAAGTTGTAGATGAAATTTGCAACAAAACATAAATGTTAACTAACCATTTAACTTTAGTATGGTGCAGTTTGGTTAAAGTTGTAAATTAGT